TATTTATTGTATCCTAGAGAAAAGGATGACAATGTGCAGCAACATTTATGCAGATGTTTTTCTGCAAAAGAAAGAAAAAAACCTCCGGAGCTCTTAGGATAAAATTGAGCTCGGATTTGCTGGCGTGCTGATAAAAGCAAGCACTCCCTTCATTAGAAACCCACGTTTATTGGGAGCTTCCCTGAGGTGGTCAGCAGAATAAAATACCTGGCAATGCAGAAAGAAGAGAAAAAAAAGAGAGAGCCTTATTCTGAATAATGTATTATAATCTAGTACATTATTAATGGGTGAAAACCAGCAGGCCTACATAATTGAAGGCATGCGATTCCTAGCAATGATCTTGCCTGGATATTGAACTCATGAGCTATGAGTTATCAGTCAAAACGATCTCTTCCTGCTTTCACTCACGGTCTGTATGTCAAAGAAAGGAGAAATGCTGAACGGGGTATTTCTCTGGGCATGTGTTGGTGATAAGGGACCTCTGAAGGGCCTAGGCAGGACATTCAGAATCTGCAAGGCTACCTAATGTCAATTCTCCTCCACTCACTGCTGATCAACCACCTGGAAATTGGTAGAGGAAGTTCTTATCATCCTCAGCAGTAATGTTCTACATGCCACGAGAGGGAGGCTCAACCTAGATACCAATTTATTTCCAAGGCTTGCCACTTTTTTTTTTTTAAGTTGGCATCTTGGCTGTCTCCCTCTCCCAGTAATCTGCAGAAGTTCAGCCTACAGGACCTGACCTCATTAACATCCCCAGACAAAATAATCTGGAAGAATGTATGTGCTTGCTGACAAGTTATACGTTCTACTGTGCTTCCTATATTTTTTAATACCATGTTGTGCAGATTCTGTTTTATTTCATACTTTCCTTTGGAGGACTAAGATTTAATTCTAAGCAATCAAGATCTCTTTAGTCCTTAACGATTTCTCCTCCTCGTTCTAAAAGCTTCCTTGAGCTTTGCAGTAGGGGTGCTTGGTAAGCAAGAACTGCCTTTAGCTCATTTTTATTCCTTTCCATAATTTGTCTTGGGGGGGGGGGGTTTACAAACAAGCACCTTTCAAATCTCCCTTGCTGCTTAACGCTCCGGCAAAAAATTTCGTCCTGCGTTCCCTTGCCAAAGTTTTGGGTTTTTGAAATTTCCTCCATTTCCTGCAGACCATCTGGGATTCAGGAATTCAGGTCATCTATTGCCTGCTTTCCCTATCTCCCTTTTACCTAGAAATAGCCTCAGAGTACATTTAATTGTGGACTTTCTCCTAGATTACTGGGAACCTGCAGTCTACCGGACCAGTTGTAATTCCATCTATCCCAACTACTGCCTATAAAAAGTGGCAGAGACATTCCAAAATGTCAGACAAATATATTCCGCAACCTAATCTGCCTGAACTGGAGGTGGAGGGGATTGAACCTTCATAGGGTGCTCTTCCAATGACCCTTCTCCCATTATGCAGGGCACTTTCAGACTCTTCCACATCGGCACCAGGGCGACTTCAAAATGTCTGACAGCTGATCTGTTTCGGTCTTGGAATGAGATTCAGCTTGCTAAAAGTTCTTCTCACCAGGGCGGCTATTTGGAACCGTTGTCGTTTTAACCGTTTAGTCGTGTCCGACTCTTTATAGGCAGGTGTTCTCCATGCTACCCTGTCAAGCACAGCTCCTTTCGGTTGTTGGATGTTCAGCTTTGTGTCAGATTTGATGTTATCAAGCCAGTGTGCCCTTTGCTTGCCCCTTCTTCTTGATCCACTAACCATTCCTAGCATCACTGCCTTCTCCAATGAATTTGCACACGTGACCAGGCCAAAGTAAATCAGACGTAGCCTTATGATTTAAACTCCTAGAGATGCATCTGGTTTATACAATTTAATACCTCTGATAGTTACTCTGGCCGTCCATGGTATATACCAGGGGTAGTCAACCTTGGCTCTTTTATGACTCGTGGACTTCAACTCCCAGAATTCCTGAGCCAGCTGTGCTGGCTCAGGAATTCTGGGAGTTGAAGTCCACGAGTCATAAAAGAGCCAAGGTTGACTACCCCTGGTATACACAATCATTTACACCAGCATCACAGTTCAAAGGCATCCATTCTTTGATCAGCCATTCTTAAGCTTTTTGGATACTTCAAAGGAAACCTGTAAGGTAGATTTCCTAGACTTGAAAGGGTCAGGTACATCCACAGAAACACGCGTGCCTGCAGGAAGGCTAGATCCAGATTCAGTCATACCTGTAATTAATGGGACTTTAGTTAAGACATGACCAGATTCTCAGTAATTTTAATAATTGTCTCTAACTACATCAAGATCCAGGTCACTGGGCACTGCCATAATATCGCTGGCCCAGTGCCATCAAGACACTTCTGATGTTGCAAAAATCTCTTAATTGCAGCCGACTTTAGAAATTATTCTGGGACCATCAAAACTTGGGCTATTTCCCTGATTGATGGACTTTCTTTAGCACAAAGGAGGCAACGCTACGTTTCCTTCTCTCTCTTTTTGAGAAGTATTCTAACCTTCCATTCTCCTTGGCATACCAGGACAGCTAACACTGCAGTCATTTACTTTGATGGGCACAAAATCCTACAACTCAACTTAGGATAGAGATGCTTAACCTGAACATGCATGGCTCTGCCATTTTTGGACCTCCAATTTGGTAGGCTAGTAGCTGATTTGAGGTGCTTCACATGGGGCGATTCTAATGATTCTAATGATGGTAAAAGCCAAGTTTCCTTTCATTCAGACACCCAGATTTGAATGAAAGTGGGCCAAGGTTCATTGAATTCCAGCACAAAGAAACTAGAAGAGATTAGATTTATGTTTTTTACTGGAAGACACGTACGAATGCGAGGTTCACTGCAAAGAGGAGAAACATCCCTCAGTTTTAGAAAGGGAGAGATTTTTTTAATAGCCATGTATAGATGTTTCTTCTCTTCAGCCTTTCAGCCTCCGCCATCTTTTTAACCTTCTAGCATGGCCCCAAAATGTTTCTCCCCTTCCAAAGCTGTATTCTCTGCAGTGCCCTTCAGGTTATTTTGCCTCTTCTGACAACAGACCATCTCCAATCAAACAAATGATTACAGTTATGCCCTAATTAAAACTGCCCTGCCAGTCATTCCTTGGTTTCTGTGACACTGCTGCCAATTTCAATATTTTTGGGCCTTGGGTTGGTCATTCGACTTGTCTCTTCAAGAAACAAGAGTTTCTACATTCTTCAGAAGAGGAGGAGGAAATAACACACCGTGTTGTGTGACCTGCCCTGTCCCCCACATTTACACCCCTTGAGGCCACAAGTAATCAAACTTGAAAGTCAACGGCCCACAAAAAGATATTTGGTGAGCCCCACCAAAAAGAATCCTTTAATATATAGCAATAATGAAACAAGATACACAAAAGTCAACAGAGCTGTCAGCACTTGGACACAGGGACTCCCTGGCTCAGGAAACCTGGCCACAAACAATGGCTTGATTCTTCACAGACAGACCACATTTGGGACCTCTTCGCCACCATCCCAAACGCAACCTCAAACCAAAGTAGGTTCCTGGGCAGGATGGAAGGGGACGGAAGGCCAACACACACACATATTTTAAAACTTAAGTTTTTGGATTTGTCTCGTTGCCACTTAAACTTTCGGGGGCTCGGGATCCAAATGAATAAAACCTCGGCATCCAGACCCTCCTTTGGGTGGGATCCCCACGGGTCAAATGCAAGGGGCAGGCCCCGGCTATGGCTAAAAGCGTCACGTCTCTGGATGGTGCACTCTGTCCCACGTGGAATGGTCTATATTACAATCTAGGAAGCGTATGCACATTTATACAGAGGACCTTCGCCCCACGCCTGGGGAGCCCCCATGAGACTATACAACGAGTGTGATGAGTTTTTAAAACATTTTCTTTCCCATCCTTCCCACCTTCGTTTCCTCCCACCCTCGCTTTTATTTTGTTTGTTTGTTTGTTTGCTTTAGTGTTTCTACATTATGTACATTGTTGTGCTTGTAGATGGATCCATCAGCTGATGGGAGGCAATCTGTCAGGCTGTATCTGAGGAGCTTTCGGTTCTTTCGGTCAGGGATGCGTCTCTTCACTTTTGCAGTCAACGGGGAAGTCACAGAGGGAGTATTTCCTAGCTTGAATTCGCCTGGGGTCCTTCTGCGGGGAACAACAGCCTCTTTTTTTTATTTTATTTTTTTTGAAGAAAGAGACCGTGGGCGGGTTGCTAATCTGGATTTGGCGTTGCTCTCGCCATGATGCTGGAAGCCGCTAGATGAACTGCTGCTCTGTAGAGGACAGGAGGAACTACTGTAGCTCATGGGGAGGAGGGCTCCAGATGCAGGGACAGGTAAGAGCAGGCAAGCTTTTATCTGCTTTCTCTCGACGTGGTGGAGCTCTGCTGTTCCTTGGAGTTTGCTCTTTAAAATCCACGAGGAAAGTGGGTGACGTGCGCGGCGTCGATTTCATTCCATGGCTTCAGATGATCAGGCCAACTTGCTCATCTCAAGATATCGAGAATGGCGCCCGTGAGGGGAGCTGTCACTCCTACTAACATTTCCAAAGGCTATCCAGGTGCATTTCTCCCTCCCCTGGGGCTGCAGGTTTGTGAGAGATATCTTGGGAATATTATTAGAAACAAGACAGTGCCCGGTACCTGATCTGGCCTGAGCAACATGATAAAAAACCCATTTTTCAGGAACGGTCCCCCATCAGCAGCAGCCAGCACCATCTCTCCTGGGCTGGGAGGATTTCTCAAAACAAGTAAATGAAGCATTCCTAGTCTTCCAGGGGAGCCCTTTTTGTAGCCAAGAGGCAATCCTAGCGAAAGGAGATGGCTGCCTGGCCAAAGTCCCTCGAGCTGATTCAAAGCAGGGCTTCCTGGCCACCACCGGGATACATGGCGAGATCTCTCTCTTGATGACAGCCTGGGAAGCTACGGGATGAATTGTAAGTGAAAAGTGTGTGTATGAATGTGTGTGTGTGAGAGAGAGAGAGAGAAAGAGAGAGAGAGAGAGAGAGAGAGATTGCATACATGGTGGGTGGAGCATGATGCCCAGGTTCCATCCGGGGTGGCTTCAATTGTTCTCAAACAATGAGAGCAGATCATCGTTGCTATTATTGGGAAGGTCGGGGGGCCCCAAGTAGGACAGCAGCTCATCTGGGTTTGTCAGCTCAGGAAGAAGCTGAAGACAAGATGGAGAGAATCAGGGTTATCTGCTAGCTCTGTGGTGGCAGAACATCACAAACGTGACCAGGCTGAAGGATCAAAAACAACATACAATCCAGAAAAATGATATGGGGGTGGGGAAGGACATGGACATCCATGCAAGAGACCTGGAGAAAGATGGAGGACCATCCACGAGAGCAGAAAATCTGAGAGCGTCACCTTCTAACTGCCAGGTTGAGATCTCTTGCCTTTGTGCTTCACCTTTTCTTAATGGAGACCTTTTTATGCAATTCTGGGGCTGAAGCCTTCAACGCCAATATAATCAATGTTTAAATCAAACTGTTTGTTTTTCCTGCCTTGACTGTCTGATGCGGGTCTGTCTGCCAGTGAAGAGTGACAAAGGCAACACACTGAACTAGCAAACATGTGGGATGGGACCTCTCTGTGCTGGAGTTGTGCTAAATAACAATAATGCGCTGGAATTCCCCCTTCCAAAGGTTACACCCAATTCTCCCCTTTTCTGACAAAAAAAAGGTGGACTATTAGTGGTATTACAACACCACTGTGTTTCTTATCTGGTGACCTTGCCGCAAAGGCTTGTGTGAATTATTTTCTTTTTTGATTCTCGTATGCCTGATTTTTATTATTTGACTTGCATTTTAAATTATATGCAATTATATTAAAAGCCTATGGCAGAAAGACATAAATATTAACTGTCTTTTTAAATAGGCCATGCAATGTCAACGTTGCCCTGAGCCTGCAGGGAAAGCTCTTTGCACTACCTGGAAGATAAGGTGGGCAAACAAAGTACATCTTAAAAGGAGTAGAACTGATTTTTTCAAAGCTTTATTTTGTAGGTGGGTGTGGCTTTAGGTGCTAAACAGATCTTGTAGATACGTAAGTGCGGTGGTGGGATTCATCTGGTTTGCACCGGTTCGGCAGAAGGGTAGCTAATTTTCTGTTGACTTCAGCGAATCAGCTGAAGCCCTAGCCCTTTTTCGCAAGGCCCAGAACGGACCGCTGAAGGTGCGTGGACGCCACTTCCGGAAGTCCGTTCTGGGCCTCGGAGGTCTGGGAGAGGCCTCCCAGGTTCAGAACAGCCCACTGGAAGTGCGTGAACGCCACTTCCGGAAGTCCGTTCTGGGCCTCGGAGGCCCAGGCCCAGAAAAGACTTCCAGAAGCGGCGTCCACGCAGGGAACTGGTTGTTCAGGTATTTGAATCCCACCACTGCTTAAGTGTGTATCTCATTCCTTAGTCTGTTCCCCCAGGTGGGTCCCAAAGGTGCTTTTTCAAGAGGCAACTGGAATTTTTTTTTGTTTTTCTTTGAAGATGTTTTGCTTCTCATGCAAGAAGTTTCTTCAGCTCTCATCCAAGAAGCTTCTTGGATGAGAAGCAAAACATCTTCAAAGAAAAACAAGGAAGTCCACTTGCCTCTTGAAAAAAACATCTTTGGGACAACCATGACCTGGATGACTGAGAATCTCCACAGACAGGTCCACCAGGTGGCCCAATTTTTGAGAAAGCTTCTAAGATATCTATTTTGACTCCTGATCTTCCTGAAAAAGCCCCGAGGGTTTGCATAGTCTCCATTCAGCAATAAGGAAGCAGAGCAAAATATGCTGGCAAGGCAGACACTAGTTTGGGCCCCTTCCCTCTACTTTATGTGCCCCCGGGAGACCTTCTGATGTCCAGCTGCCTTGGGGTACACCACACCAGTTTGGTTCCTACACGTGGGCACAGCTGGGTGTGTGTGGAAAGGCAGTTTGGGGCTTCCAGCACATCCAGAAAGAGAGAGGGGAAGGTGAGCTTGGGAAGGACAGCTCCATGCTACTTACGTCAAGGGAAGGTTCAGGCCCATCCACGGGTCCAGGTGGCGCTCCCATCCCAGGACCAGGGTTAAAAGGGAGCTCCCCTCCATGTGTTGGGCCTCCGGTGCCTGGCTGTCCCGGTGCCTGGCGTGATGGGGGAGGAGGAGGTTGATTCCGGTGATGGAGCTGTGACTGCTGCTGCTGCTGCTGCTGCTGCTGCTGCTGCTGCTGTGGTGGTGGCGGCTGCTGTCCCGGCTGATTGCTGAGGTTGGGGTTGTTTAGGCCCTGTTGCCCAGGATTGTGTGAAGAAGGATCCATCCTGCTTGATGGAGGCATCTGCAATCGCAAAAGAAGGAAACAAAGCTGCTGAGGGCGGGCAGAGCTGCAATCCCGCGAGAGCTTCATCGTCCCACAATGCGTCAAGACCCTTCCTCTGGTATGGATAAGTTCATCTCCCAATGTTCTCCCATCCCACCCTGCGGACCGCCCAAGGAGACCGCATTCCCATGAAGTACCAAGCTATATCTTTTGTTGAGTTGGCTGGGTATGTAAGTGGATTTGGCTCCCTCATCACACAAGCCACACATTCTCGGTTAGAGCAAAATAAGAATCCAGGGGATGCCACAAAGGAGAGGAAGTCAACTTATTCTCCAAGTTGAAGGCAGGACAAGAAGAAAAGGATGGAAACTAATCAAGGAGAGAAGCAACCTAGAACTAAGGAGAAACTTCCTGACAATTAGAACAATTAAATCAGTGGAACGACTTGCCTCCAGAAGTTGTGAATGCTATAATGCTGGAAGTTTTTAAGAAGAGATTGGACAACCATTTGTCTGAAATGGGCTTTTCTGAGCAGGGGGGTTGAACGAGAAGACCTCCAAGGTCCCTTCCATTATTTTGTATTCTGCAGACATGATGTTAGCAACAAGGATGGAGGCTGGTCATCCAGACAGAAAACAAGACTAAACGAACCAATTCTACTTTATTGTAAGACTACAGCAACAGAATCTAGCAAATGCGAAAATACACATTTTCCACCCTTCACTTTTAACTGCTTGATCCACTCCGGTGGGTCTTTCCTAAGTTTCTTCCCCTGACCATTAATCCACTGGGGGATCCTTCCTCTCTTATCTGTTTCCTAGGCAGCATCTTTTTTCCATTGTTCCTCAAGGTCATCCTCACATTCCATTCCATCCTGCAAGCCATCTAAACCTCCAACTGACTTGACTTCAGGCTGTTCGGCATCCTTCCTGCACTGCAGAGATTTATTTCTGCTTCCATTGCAGTGCTTTATCCTGACTGGGATATGCTTTCATCCATTAACAAGGTGCAGACTCACACACAAAAACACACATACATACACACACACACAAGTCTAGGAAATGTTTGCCTAGCACTCCTTCCAACATCAAACAGCATCAATATTTCTGTCACCTGAAAGAGGAACTGCCTGATTCCTCACGATGATATCTTGCAGAGGCACGACATGTTTTGGCAGAAAGCATCTTCCCCTGGAGATAAGCTGATGAGGACCCCCTACTGATGAAGCAAACACCCCCCTTTCCCCCCCCCTTCCTGCTCAGTGGGTTGCCTGAAATTAAATTCCTCTCAAAATTACACCGAGTAAGGCGGGAGGATTGCCAGTCGCTGAAACCTGCTCTTCTTAAGGGAAGATTTAACACATTTTTTTTTTTTTAAGCACGAGGCTCCTTTTATGCATTGAGTCACTTGGATCTTTGGGTGATCTTTTTTCTTTCTTTCTTTCTTTTTTTGGGAGGGGTGGGTGGGTTTCTCGGCTTGTTGCATTATTCATTTCTCCACCCTAGAATCCCACGCAGAGGAAATCCGGCGGTGACACAATTAGCAGAACGGGCCAAGAAAAGACAGTTTCTGCCACGCAAAATGTGCCTCTCCCACAGTTCTGCCTGATGGCATTTGGGAATGAGCTGCTTAGCAAGAATGGAAGTAGTCACGCATCATGGCTGGCTGCCGACGCACCAGTTCTTCAAAGCTCACCCAGCGGTGCTGAGATCCAGTCATACCCAGCACCCCTGCAGAGTCCCGAGTCTGGACCAGCTCTCAGCCTTAGCATTTGCCGACGTTTCGCTACCCAGCTGATAACTCAGTTGGCACACCCTGCAGGGGGGTAAAAGCTAAACCCAATACATCTCAAAGTTCTTGGTGAAATCCTGGGCTGCGAGGTGGGCAGAAGAGACAAGGCTGCAGCTTAATGGGCCAGGCTCACTTTGCAGGCCAATGTTCATGGACCGGGGGTGCGGGGTGATCCACTGTTACAGAATAACAGTGATGGAAGGGACTTTGGAGGTCTTCTAGTCCAACCCCCTGCTTCAGCAGGAGACCCTCTACCATTCCGGATAAATGGTTGTCCAATCTCTTCCTAAAAACCTCCAGCGTTGGCAAGCTGAAGGCAAGCTCTTCCACTGGTTAACTGTTCTCGCTGTCAGGAACTTCCTACTTAGTTCTAGATTTCTCCTTGATGCGTTTCCATCCGTTATTTCTTGCCTTGCCCCTCAGGTGCTTTGGAGAAGAGGTTGTCCCCCAGAATAGGCTGAAACTCCACTGACTGGCTGTCAGTCACTGTGGACAATAACTGAGAAGGTGGAAGCTTCAGATGGCTTGTAAGGCACCTTTCTGGGCTTCTGTGAATCCTGGCGCCACCCACTGGCAGCTGGCTGAATTTGGGCTGCATTTTTCTTCTAAAACTGATGTCACCTTATGCAGGGCAGGGGACTTCGTGATAATGATGCCCGAGAGAGGAAAACCCTTAGTGCAGAGAAAAGGAAGACTGGGACATTTTCTTCTCTTCGTCCTGATGTTAGAGCTGGGGGTCAGCCAACCAAAACCGTTTGGCACTCGATTCAAAGCAGACAAGGCGTGACAGGCTTCTGCAGCATTCGTTGCTTTACACCAGGGCTCTTCAAACTTGGCCCTTTTATGACTTGTGGACTTCAACTCGAAGAAGGAAGGAGGAAGGAGGAGGAGGAGGAGGAGGAGGAGGAGAAGAAGGAGAAGGAGAAGGAGAAGGAGAAGGAGAAGAAGAAGAAGAAGAAGAAGAAGAAGAAGAAGAAGAAGAAGAAGAAGAAGAAGAAGAAGAAGAAGAAGAAGAAGAAGAAGAAGAAGAAGAAGAAGAAGAAGAAGAAGAAGAAGAAGAAGAAGAAGAAGAAGAAGAA